CGGCGGTGCGTGAGGGCCGCGGGGGGCGCGCGCCGGGCCCACGCAGGCCGGGTGGGCGCCGTGGGGTCCGGGCGCTGTCACCCGCCCACGGCCAGGCCCGACCCAACAGCGCGCTGAGGCCGCTCAGCCATCTTGGGGCGCGCTCCCCACGCGCCTGCCGTCCGCGCGGCGCCGGGTTCAGGCCGCGAAGCCCGGCCTCTGCCGCCCGCGGTTCTAAGGCCGGGATCCCCCAGCACAGCCCGGCGTCTGCGGGCAGTTCCTGCCATCCGCCGCACGCGGCGCCCACGCCCGGCAGCCCGCTGGTCTGCATCCACCGAGGCTTCCGCTCCATCCTAAAAGCAGGACACCATCTTGCGACTGCTTTCACCTGCGTCCGGGAGAAACGGAGCCCTTTCTGACCGAGAGGGCAGGGACACAGACAGGGGCTGTGGCAGCAGCCTGCAGTGCGCCGCGGGCCCGGAGGCTTTAGTGCAATGTGTTGTTTTCAAACGCTTCTGATAAGTGGGAAAAGATGGGGGATGGGCGGAACGTGCATTTGCAGCTTAAGAAAATGTCCGTAAAAGGAGATCTTGGCCAATTTTAGCGGGTAGGAGAAGCGCTCCAGTGGGATTTCCAAGGCCTGGTGCTTGACCTACTTACCAGCAGACTAGGCGCTGCCTTCGGTGGGGAGAAGTTCCCATTTTCCTGAATCACACGGTCAAGGGCTGGGCACGGTCAGTGCAGCTACAGGAACCCGGCAAAACGCCCAGGGTCCAGTGCTCAGGAAGTGCTGGGTGAAGGGGTGGGGAGCTTCTGCAACTACCAACAGCTGTTCTGAAAACAGCGGCAGGCCGGGAAGCCCACTGGGTGGCGGAGCAGAGGATGACTGCTTGTTCCCCGGAGCTGTCGGTTCAAAGCCGCCCACGTGGGAGCTCAGAGTCCCGGTATTTGCAGCTCCCATGTTCCAGGTTGTGTGTTGCTCGGGAGCCAGAGGGCCATACACTGAGGCTGTGCATAGAATTTTCCAGAGCTGATGTTGCCTCTGGGGCCACATCACGTAATATTTTGTGACTCAGTTTCTTCATTCCTTTAGATTTTCAAAATCTAGACATGGTTAAATGAAAGGGAGTATGGGATTTCTGTCCCTCCGTGTGAGTGTGTGCATGTGCACGTGTGTGCATGTGTGTGCGTGTGTGTGTGTGAAGGGCATAGGAAGATGGGCAATTAAATGAGTTAAACTCTTTGGAGAGCGACACGCTGATGTAGCCCACAACCACCAGAGCAGCGGCATGTCTGGGCTGAAGCCAGGTCAGACCTGTCAGACCTGTCAGCAAGTCCTCACCACTAACCCTGCCCACGGGCCTGCTTTGCTGCCTGTCCGTCTGCTCTTGCTGTCTGCCGGAGGGTTAGGGTTTCATCCTGCGTGAGTGGAGACGGCGCTGGCAGCTAGACTGAGACAGCTTCCCGGTTTCTTCCAAAAATGTCACTTTTCTAGCTAGCTGGGGTAAAGAATGTCACCGTTCCAGACTCACCGCCGGCGTGCTCCTCTTCCTCGCCAAGCCATAAAAACCCACAGGGAGAGATTCCTATATTAAGAAGGTGGAGCCTTACAGCTTCATAGTATAATTTGAGAAGAGAAATGGCATCAATTTACTTACTTCGTTAAGTTCCTGAGATGAACTTGTCTGGACACGCTGAGCTGGGCTTTGATTTGAAGATCAAGAGACCCCTCCAGGGTCGAGGTCAATGCAGACTCTGGAGATGGGCGAGCTCCCGCAGTGTCCCTTCACTGTCACCGCAGGGTGAAGGGAGACCCTTTGTCTCCCGTGTTTCCATGGGTACTGAGGAAACAAAGGCAGATGTCCAACTTCTCTCCTCCTCTCTCCCACTCTCACTTGCTTCCCTTTCTCTGCCCCTCTTTTCTTAGCTAGAGATAGTACGAAGACTTTTATTACAAACGGTCAAACACAAGTCCTCATTTTGAGAAATGCAAAGCATAAAACCAGAAAAGGAAGTGGGGACTAGCGCCAATGCGTTCAGGGTTTGAACCCAGGGACAGACCTCGAGACTTCATTTCCTCCTTCAAACATTCATTTTCTCAGTACCTTCCTTCGAGGCTGCCCCAGTTTCAGGAGGTAAGTGGCAGCTTCCCGGGGTGCCCGTGTTCCCTGCCCTTCGCTGTTAAGCTTCTTGGAACAGTTTTGAAGCCTTGGAGTCCGGGAGTCCCAGAACAGGCCAGGCAGCTTGGGCTGTGCATGAGGGAGAGCTTCAGGAATAGGGTGTTCCAGCAGCCCCTGACCACTAGGATGTCGCACACACAGTACCTTCCTAAACTCGGACTTCCGTAAAACAGTAAGCTGATGTTGCTGTTTGTACATATACCACATCTAGTACGTAGTTAACTATCAAAATTAACAGCAGATTTTAGAAATAGACTAATATTTTTACATCCTAAAAAAATAGTAAACTTGAATGCTGTACTAATTTTGCTTAAAATAAAACTGTCTAAAGGGTTATAAACAAGAGTATTAGGTACCACCAGGTTGGGGATTAAAAATACTAAATATTGAGTTTATTCTTTAAGGATCTTCTATTTCTTTTAATGAATGACTTTGATAAATAGCTATTAGTCTAACTAAAGATAATTTAACAATTTAATATTTCAGTTTCATAACACAAAACAATTTATAAAACATATTAAATTGAAGAAACAGCAAGTAAAAATCCACTTTTTCTCTAAGAAACCAGCAGATGGAGATGTTGGAGAGAAAACTGTTGTTTCACAAAACACTTGTGCACACTGGGTACCTTTTTAAACTGTAAACGAATTTACTCAGGGAAATTGAAAAAATATAAATGGCATCTCATTTGCAAAAAAGTCATATAAAGTGCTTTGTTTGAAAAATAACCTTAATCCCTTTTAAGAACAGATTGCTTTAAATTTTATTTTTCAAAGAAGTTCCTAGGATATTCTTGTCAGTTTGATTTATAAAGACATTTAGGGAATAGATTGCAAATACTATCAGCATAGATTGTAAATACTTTCGAGAAAGAAAGAAAAAAATCTCAAGTTACATTTCTTCAGCTTTTAACCTTGTTTCTTCAGGCATCATTTTTGAGGTATATCTCTTATCATTGAATTTTAGTCATGAAATACTGAGATTGTGTATCTATGTGTTTGTCAAAATAACTGGTGTTTGCTAAGCCTTATTACACACTGCAGAGGGAAGTCAGTGCCTGTATGTTCACATGTTGTGTGTGTATGTGTGCACGTGTGTGGCAGTCATCATAGAGTATAAGAGGGCAGATGGGCTGGGCTGTCTTGTTTCGTCGTGTGTGTGTGTGTGTGTGTGTGTGTGGTCGCTGTCATAGAGTGTGAGAGGGTAGAACAGGGCTGGGCCGTCCTGTTTCGTCGTGTTTGTGTCTGTGTGTGTGTGCATGTGTATTTGTGTGTGTATGTGTGCATGTGTGTGGCTGTCATCACAGCGTGTAAGAGGGCAGCATGGGCTAGGCTGTCCTGTTCCATCATGTGTGTGTGTGCACGTGTGCATGTGTATTTGTGTGTGTATGTGTGCATGTGTGTGTGTGTGCATGCGTGCATGTGTATTTGTGTGTGTATGTGTGCATGTGTGTGTGTGTGCATGCGTGCATGTGTATTTGTGTGTGTATGTGTGCATGTGTGTGTGTGTGCATGCGTGCATGTGTATTTGTGTGTGTATGTGTGCATGTGTGTGTGTGTGCATGCGTGCATGTGTATTTGTGTGTGTATGTGTGCATGTGTGTGTGTGTGCATGCGTGCATGTGTATTTGTGTGTGTATGTGTGCATGTGTGTGTGTGTGCATGCGTGCATGTGTATTTGTGTGTGTATGTGTGCATGTGTGTGTGCATGTATGTGTATGTGCACATGTACGGTTGTCGTCACAGTGTGTAAGAGGGCAGCATGGGCTGAGCTGTCCTGTTCTGTCATGTGTCCATGTGTGTGCATGTGTGTGTGTGTGCACATGTATGGCTGTCGTCACAGCGTGTAAGAGGGCAGCATGGGCTGGGCTCCAGCGGCGTCATTTCTGTGGATCTGCACACTAATTCCATTTATGCGAAAGCGGCATGGTACCGTAACCAGCCCGGACACTGCTGAGTGGGGACCAGGCGTGCGGTGACAGAGCCGTGGACAGGGCCAGGACTGGCACCTTCCAGCCCGGTGTTGCGGTCACTGCCGCCTCCATCATGTAAGAATAGTTTGATTCTGAGCTGCATGCAGTTAGACTTTCATACTTCACCCACAGAAAGAGAACCTCAAGGAGACGATGGCACACAGGAAGCAGAAGCGGAAGCCGGGCACCGGCTGAAGGACCTCCTGTCTGGGGCCGAGAGCAGAGCGTTTCAGTAAAACGACCACCTGACACGCAGAGCGCGCTGCGGGGAGTTCTTCCCAGCGCTGTTCCCGTGAGGCCGCGAAGGCTGGAGCTGGGACAGGGCTGGGACATGGCCGTCCCCCGTGCCACGCCGGCACTCCTGTCCGGCAGCGCCAGGCCATGTCCGGCTCACGCCGGCCTCGGAGCCTCAGCTGGTCTCTCGCAGCCCCTCGCAGACTCGCGAAGTTCGGAATGCTGAGG